TGTCTGTCTGTCTGTCTGTCTCTCTCTCTCTCCCTCCCTCTCTCACTTATTTCCTTGGGAGATGCCTTCTGCAAGAGATTCTCACACCCAGAAACCCCACTGTGATCAAGGGGCACCTGCTAGCACAGGGGTGGGAATGTGAGTCTTATTTCCACAAAGGCCACTCCTTAGCTCCCTAATGTCTACTATGATGGGCTTTGGGTGTTGTTGTTTTGAACAGCCATTCTGGGCTCTAGGGGTCCCCAACTGACATTGATCCCTACACAAACTGTCCTCTTCATGGGGCTCAGGAAGATAGGCTGTCACCCCTGCAAGAACACCTAGGAGCACCAGGTCCCTTTCTGTGCCCCCCCCCATGTATCAATCTCATCTACCTCAATTCAGTCTCTTCTCACTCTGAATTCTCTGAATTCTCCTTGAATTTCTACATAGAGAGACCTTCCCAGAGAGCCCGTTTACACCAAGTAGCTTTTTAGCTGTTTCCCCACCTTTTCTCCGTAGTCCCCAAGGACAGCCGTGGCAGTGCTGCACTGACCCTTGGGGAAGCAGCTTTCTGCCTTTGAGTTTCTTGCAGCTGATGTAAAATCTAGATCAGATACTACTTGGCAAGAGGGGAAGGCATCAAAGAATGTGGAACAAGTTCAGGGGGTAGTGGAGAGGCAGGAAGTAAAAGCCTATGGCCTGGTTCTCTGAACAGTCTCTGATGCGGAAAGGGAATTCCTGTGTTACCTGCAACAAAGCATGTCCTTTACCCTAAGGTCCCCCACATACACCCTAGGGTCTGGACAGTAGCACCTGTGTGGGGACAGATTCATATCAGTTACCCTTGACCCATCTGCCTTGATGGGCTGTGCCCCAACTTCTGAGTCTTATCTCAGACCTGGCTCCTGCTGGCGGTTACCTTTCCAGGGTCTTAGTTTCTTGTTCTTATCTCTCAGATGGCTCAGACACAAAGTCCTATGGAATGAGCACATTCTACTGTTTTGTTCCTCACATCAGAGTGCACTGTGTGCATCATTGTGCTTCAGGCATCTCGCTCCTGGGAGTCTGTCTTGATCACACCTTTCCTGACTACACCTGAGTCCTCTAGCCAGTGCTAAACACAGGCCTACATACCTCACAACATGCAGAATCTGACTAGAACACAAGCTTGCAACCATTTAGCTAAATAGATGTCAAGTGGGGCCACTGTAGCCCATTCACAAAGTTCACTAGGTGCTTCCATTTTTTTTTTAATTTCTCTCTCATATATTATATCCCAGCCACAGTTTCCCCTTCCTCCTCTCTTCCTATGGTTGTTTGAAAGAAAACGAGCCCAAAAGGAGTGCCACTCTTAGGAGGTGTGGCCTTGTTGGAGGAAGACTTTGAGGTCTCATATGTGCTCAAGCCATATCCAGTGAGACAGATTACTTCTGTTGCCTGTGAGTTAAGATGTAGAACTCTCAGCTCCTCTCTAGCACCATTGTGTGCCTGCATGCCGCCTTGCTTTCTGCCTTGATGATAGTAGACTAAACCTCTCAACTGTAACTGAGCCACCACAATTAAATGCTTTTCTTTATAGGGCTTGCCTTGGTCAAGGTGTCTCTTCACAGCAATAGAAAACCTAAGACACCTCCCAGCCCCTCCCCCATCTTCACTCTCCCCCAGATCCACTGCTCCTCTGTTTCCCTTCAGAAAAGGGCAGGCCTCCCAGGAACATCAACCAAACATGGCATACTAAGTTACAGTAAGATTAGGCACAAAAATTCTCTCATATTAAGGCTGGATCCCCAGTAAAAGTTAAAGGGTCCCAAAGCAGGCAAAAGAGTCAGAGACATCCCTGCTTCCACTGTTAGGAGTCCCACAACCATAACAACCATGTGATCTAGAGAACCTAGATCATACTCATACAAGCTCCCTGATCGTGGCTCAATCTCTGTGAGCCCTTATGAGCCCCGATTAGTTGATTCTGTGGACTGTTTTTTAGTTTGTTTTGTGGTGTTCTTGATCCTCCTACGATCCTTCCTTTACCTCTTTCACAGGATTCCTTGAGCTCCATCTAATGTTTGGCTATGGGTCTCTGCATCTGCTCTAATCAGTTGGGGCATATAAATTTATAAATGTTAACATCCCTTAGGGAATGTTTTCTTAGGGACATTGTTTCTCTTAAGGTCTGCCTTTATTAATCTAAGATAGATTTCTTATTTATCTATATGAAATCTGGTATTTCAGTTTGCTAAATATCCTTCTCTAATATCTAATATTGACTAGGTTTTATTTAATCAAACTAGAATTTTTCTCTTTTTTTAAAGATTTTTTTAATAAATTTATTTATGCATTATATATAATAATGCATATCCCTGCAGGCCAGAAGAGGGCACCAAACCTTATTACAGATGGTTGTAAGCCACCATGTGGTTGTTGGGAATTGAACTGAGGACCTCTGGAAGAACAGTCAGTGCTCTTAATCGCTGAGCCATCTCTCTAGCCCTAAAGATTATTTTATATATATATATATACATATATATACATATATATATATGTATATATATGTTTGCTTTGCTTAATATGGATGTCCATGCACCGTGCTTGTGCTTGATGCCTGGAGAGTCCTTGGAACAAGTTACAAGATAGTTATAACCTGAGTCTTTGCAAAAGCAGCAAGTGCTCTTAATCACTGAGCCATCTCTCCAGTCCCTAGAAAATTTCCTTGGCCACTGATAAATTTGAGCTGATTTCTGCTTTAATTTACCATATTTATTTATTCTTGTTTCTTCCCCCTTTGGCACTAGGTAGGGTTGATGGCAAAGGATTCATGTTTTCGTTAATCTTTTTTTCATGTCTATGTTTTGCAAGTTAAAAGTTCTGTCTTAAAGCCGGGCAGTGGTGGCGCATGCCTTTAATCCCAGCCCTCAGGAGGCAGAGCAGGCAGATCTCTGTGAGTTCAAAGCCAGCCTGGTTTACAAGAGCTAGTTCCAGGACAAGCACCAAAGCTACAGAGAAACCTTGTCTGGGGGCGGGGGGGGGGGGGGGGGGGGTTCTGTCTTACTTTACTGGTTACAAATTGCTTAAATGAATATGTACATATTTAAAATCCATGGCTGGTATAAGTCAGCACCTTGGCCCGAAGATTCCTCTTGATCTTCCTGTATGCCTTCCTGAACCAGTCTTTTCTGTGGTTGTTTAAAAGGAGCTCCTTTTCATTCTTGCCCTATAGTGTAATTTACTAATAATCTGTTTTCTGATCATTTGACTAGTGTCTCCTTCCTCTCATTTTATTTTTGTTTTTTTGTTTTTGTTTTTTCATTGTTGTTGTTTCATTGTTGTTTTGTTTTTGAGATGGCATCATATAGAGCGTGCTGGCCTGAGGGAGACATCATATAGAGCGTGCTGGCTGGTGGGGACTGGCCTGGAGGAGACTTCATATAGAGCGGGCTGGCTGGGGGGGGGCGGGGACACAACTCTGTAGTTGAGGTTGACCTTGAACTCCTCATCGACCTACCTCTGCTTCCCCAAGTACTGGGATGATAGACCTAGGCCACCACATCCAACAAATATGTCTTAGCAACGTTATACTTCAGTCTATGGCATTTATTTTTATCTTTTAATAAGGTATTTCAAGAAATTTGTTTTGTTTTTTGAGACAGGTTTCTCTTTGTAGTCCTGATTGTCCTGGAACTCGCTTTGTAGACCAGACTGGCCTTGAATTTACAGAGATCCACCTGTCTCTGCCTCCCGACTGCTGGGATTAAAGGCGTGCCTGACCTCCTTCTTTTTAGTGTGTGTGTGCACGCTACAAAGAAGTCATTGGGTACCCTGGAGCTCAAGTTATAGGTGGTTGTGAGCTGCCCAACATGGGTTCTGAGGTTCTTAGAACTGAACCCTTGGTTCTCCCAGAAGAGCATCACATAGTTTACCCAAAGGCTATCTCTCCAGCCCTTTTGTTTTTAATTGATAATTTGTTTTCCTGATCTGCAGGTTTATGATTTTTGTCCTCCAGGGAACTTAATTTTAAATTCTGGCTCCCCTTGTCCCTCCCTTTGTTCAAGTCTGGTATTCATCCATCTGTCTTCCTTGTTGGCTTCCTTAATTCTGATACTTTAGTTCGAATTTGCCTTTAAACTTGAATTCTTACTAATAATTTCCTCAAATGATCTTTGAGAAAGTTTTTTTGTCTTGAGCAGTTAAGGTACCCAGTGTTTTTAGCGTCAGTGAGTGTGTTTACTATTTTTAGAAGTTATGTTGTATTTTTATGCCTATATGATGTTCTTTACTCAGTATCTTATATTTTTAATTCTTCCTTTTCTATCTCTTATGATCTTATGATACATATTTCAGTTACTGTCCTTTTAATTCTTTTACCTGAATTTTTAGAAGTTTGAGTGAACCCATGTTGGAAGGGGTTTCTCTACAGTCCTAGGATAAGGCTTTGTCTCCCTGCAACAGATTCCCATTTGCATTGTCTAGTACCCTTGACCTGTTAGGATCCAGAAGCTGATCCACTTGTACCCTTGACCTGTTAGGATCCAGAAGCTGATCCACTTGTACCCTTGACTTGTTAGGATCCAACAGTTGATCCAC